TTGGACCCTGGACCTTGGTGCTTTCAGCACCATGCTCTAACCAACTGAGCTAACCAGCCAGCCCCAAGAACCAGACCTTTTTGGGTTCAAATCTGCTCTGTGACTTATAAACTGTGTGACCATGGGTGAGTTACTGACTTCTCTGTGCCTCTTGGTTTATTTATCCTCTATCTCAAGGGTTGTGGTGAGGATAACTGAGGGTGTGAAGTCCTGTGCTTGGCACACCCTGAGTGCCAGGTGTTTGCTGTGGTGGTGTGGGAACTGGGTTCCTGGCAGAGGCCCAGAGCCGGGAGAGAGAGAGCCCCTTAAAGGGAAGGGAGCATGGCTGACCATGGCCAAGGTCAGTCCCCAGTGTCCCTCCAGGCCCTGAAGAGGTCAGGTTTTGGCCCTTGGGCAGTGGGTGGCCACAGACAGTGTTGAGACAGAGAAGAGTCCTGGTTTGATTGGTGTCTGAGGAGAAGAGCATGGAGGTGGTGGTCAGGTCTGGGGAGGGAGATGGGTCCTGACCCAGAGCCACCCCATGAGGACGAGAGACTTGGCAGTTGTGGGAAGGTGCAGGTGGGAGCAGCAGGAGCAGGCCTTCCCTTGTGGCTGTGAGGCGGCTGCTTGTCCAGGCTGCTGAGTCACCCCTGAGGATGAGCAGGCTGGGACCACAGGCCTGGAGCGTGGTGAGGTGCAACATGATTTTGGTGACCACTCGTTCCTTCTCTTGTCCCAGGTCACAGTCATTGTGCCTCACAGTTACTCATCACTGCCCATCACCTGATGTTGTGCGGACATTGTCTGGTTGAAAAGTCCCAGCGTGCTGTGAAGCAGGCAGGCAGTCTTATCCTGATTTTATAGAAACAGACTCAGAGGGGTGGATCTTTGTCCATGTTCTCTGAGTTAGGAGGGGAGACCAGGCTCATCCAACCCCAAAGCCTGTGCGAGTGCCCATCCAGATTCTTCGTGAGGGGCAGAGAGATCTGCCATCGCGCCAGGCAAGTTATCTGCAGCCCTCTGGGGTGGTGGTGTCTGCACCAGGCCCAACACAGAAAGGACAAACTGCTAAGCAGGCAGGCAGGTGTCCTGTGATCCAAAACCACAGGACTGCCAACCCTGGACAACAGCAAGCTGCCCGATGACAAGTGGAGGTTTGCAGGGTCTGGCCCTCAGGAGCCAGGAGACAAGCACAACTACTGCCCAGGAGCCCTCAAAGGCCATCGCCAGCAGCTCCCAGACCCAGGGAGTCAGTTCTCACTCTCTTGGGAACTGGCAACCACTGTCAGTGTTTTAAAATAGCAAACTGAGTTACGTTTGTGGTTAAAAACAAAACAAATAC